AAAGCCCTCATTCTAATAACAGGACTAGGCTAACTACCTTCACTTAGCAAGGTTTTTGTTTGTTTACCAGTGTTTTTGTTTTTAAATATATCTTTATTGATTTCAGACAGAGGAAGGGAGAGGGAGAGGGAGAGAGAGAAACATCAATGATGAGAGTCACTGATCAGCTGCCTCCTGCATGCCCCCGACCAGGGATCGAGCCCGCAACCCGAGCATGTGCCCTGACCGGGAATCGAACCTCTATCTCCTAGATCCTAGGTCAATGCTCAACTGCTGAGACATGCCCGGCTGGGCGGATATCAAACTTTTTAATCTTTGCCACCGACAGGGGAAAACTGTGATTTTGTTTTAATTTGCCCCTTATGATGAAATTAAAGTCCGGCCTTTTTTCCTTCCTGTTTACCAACCATCTATGATACTTCTTAACTGAACAGCCAATACCTACCTTTCGCCCATGTTATGTTGCATTATCTTCTTGATTTATAAGATCCTTAATTGATTTGTTTATTTAAACTTGGCCCTTTGTTATGTATGCTGCAAATATTTTTTGTAATTTTGGTAATTATCTTTTGACTTTTGGGAATTTTACTCCATTGAAGAATTATCTTTTATACAGTCAAGTGTGTTAATCTTTTTCTTTATAGGTTCAGTTCAAGTCTAATCTTGAAGCAAGAAAGACTTTCGGCAAAGTCTTTCTTGCTTCAAGATTAAATAATAATAATAACTATAGTTATTACTATTATTATTTTCAGCCATGATCAAGTAGTCATTGGCTGCCATCTATGTGCTAAGAACATGCTGAGTGCTGGGGTGATGAGAAAACAGATCATGTGAACTATGTTTAACAGCACACAGAGCATAGTCTTCTCATACCAGATTAAAAATAAATAAGGAAGATGATCAGTCCATAGTTTTATTCTTAATCATCAGCTGACCTGCCACCTAGAAGGAACAATATCACTGCACTGGTCTCCCAGCAGCCGCTCACTCTCCCCTTCTGGAAATGGACTAGAGGGCAACAGCAACACAAACTCAGAAAAGTCTAAAACTTATCAGTAAAATTTCAAGCCACAGAGATACTAGAATGGAAGCTGCAGATAATAGAGGTACAGAAATAAAATGTATTATAAGAAGGAATAGGTCAAAATATGAAGGAAACAACTTGGAATTTAAAAAAATGAGTAGATATTCTGCAATGTTTTTTGTTCTGCTGTTATTTTTGCGTTTTTTCTTTTCTTTCTTTCAATGTCACATTGATATTGCTTGACATAATAACTAAGTTAAAAAATTAAGACTGTTCCATGAAGAATGCTTTATGTTCTGATTATAGCTCACATCCTGAATAAGAGGTTGCAAAGGATATAATAAGGGAGTCAGTCACTGTAAGACATGGTCCATGTTACATTACTCTAAAAGGTGCATACTATAAATGTGTGATTCAAATGTTTATTTTGGTCTAGAACACTTATGTTAACAGGATATTCAGTCATCTAAAGATTTAAACGAATACTATGTCCAAAGCACTGGTTAGACGCACAGATGAGTAAAGCTGGCAAGTATCGTCTAGCTAGATACTGAGAGAGAAAGGAAAATGTGTTTGGCAAACATTTCAATCTCTTCTACCAGAGTTAACAAGAGCTTTTGGGAAGTTTCAGGCAATGAAGGTAAGGTGAAAATATGTGGCCTGTTTATAATTGCTAGTTAGAAGAGAAATAACTTAGTCAATTACTGCTAAAACAACTGAGAAAGACGAACCATTAGTAAAAAAATTCACCTAAATTTTTAAAAACTTAATAATCATGTTACATTGGAGAAGTCTATACTTTGAAATGTTATATTTTATATATTATAATGATTTTTTTTTTTGTACACAAGAATATCCTGTTATTAATAGAACAGGAAGTTGTAAACTTATTTTCTCAAGAGTGGCTAGGGATACTTTTACATTAAATTTAGTGATTTTTTTTTTTTTATTGATGACCTTTGTAACCAATTAAAAAAACCCTTTTTATTGTTGACATTATTATAGATGTCCCCCATTTTCCTCCCCTTTGCCCACCTCCAGCCAGCCCTCCCCACCTCGCCTTCTCCACACCGTTGTCTGTGTCCGTGGGCTATGCTTATATGTTCTTTGGCTAATCTCTTCACCTTCTTTCATGCAGTCCCCCACCCCATCCCCATCCCCTCTGCCATTTAAACTCAGGATTGGTGGAATAAACGTGAAGCCCATAGTCTTCTTGGCAAAAGGCTACAGTAGATGTTTATAGTGTATTTTTATAAATGTGATTCTCTTACTGGTTTCTAAAAATGCAGTTATTACATTTTAACCTAAATTCTGCCTCTTGGCCATATGATAAATTAGATGCATCCACAAGTTATATCCATCAGTTATATCCTTAGGCCAAACAAAAGAGGTCGCCTACCTTACTTTGGTCCCTTAGGTAATTTACTCAGGTCCCATTACCTGACATCAAAGTCAAGTTTATGAGAGAAAAACACTAACAATGTAAGTCCCAGTAGTTTGGAGGTGAATTTAAATAGCTCCCAAGTCAGTACGTTCCTCAAATGTTAAATAATTCACTGCAGAATTATAGATACAAGCCTCCAGCAAAAGTTACACTTGAACAATTAAGAAAGCAGGAGCCAAACAAATGACTTCAGGGATAGAGAAACAAATTAATGGTTTCTCATAGTACTGTGCCAAATTATGTTTTCACATTAACAAGTGTACAAAACACCCAAACATCACCAACGACATAATGGATCAAGTTTGATTACAGAAAATAGCCCAGAACCAGGGTTATTCCTTAAAAGTAATTATAGATTTTATACACTTGGGTATGAAACCCATTTATATTATTTGGAAAATTTTTATATTCATAATGTACCACCTACTCTTTTGCAAAGTTCTTTTTCAATTGCTCATGTTACAGTGACCATCTACCAAATGCATATGTTCCTGTGAAGGCTCAGAAGATGTTGCAGTTGTTTCTTAGAGACCAGGTAAGAAATCTGAAACACAAGGCCACGTCACAGTGCACTATGTGCAGATAGACAAGAGCACGTGCATAACAGAAAGGGTATATACTTTAGAGTAAAACGAGGATTTGATTTCCAGCTCTGTCACTTTCTACCTAGAGGATTTTAGACAAGTCTTAATCTCAGTATTAGCTTCTTTTTCTGATTCACTTATGCAACAAATATTTATTGAACACCTATTATGTGTCAAATAGTACTTTACATGGGTTATTTTAGAATGAGAGATAATAAAACTTATCTGGTGCTCATTAGCAGTACGTATGGTTACCCAATTGCAAGAGCAGACTGATCAATAAAACAGGGTCAAAATCAGCAGAATGAAAACCAAAGGGATTCCTAACAGGAAACAGAGATACATGGGATGGAAGGTGATGTGAAGTCGGCTTGCTTTGCAGGGATTAACAAGTTAATGGTGTTCATTATGGATCCTTATGTGTTTTCTCTAGTTATTTCAACTAAACTCAGGCAAGAGCTTTCTACAAAACTTATAAGGTAAAGTTTTCACCTCTAATTCAAACAGTTTGGGGGAGGGATACAGATGTGTTAAAGATCTTCCAAGTTGCTTTCAATTCAGGAGTTTTTCAAAGAAATACAAGAAAACCTTTTTGGTGTATTAGTTTAATGGTTAAGCTAATTATTTGAATCAGACTAGAAAACAGAATGGAATAAAAAAACACACACATGAGATTTAGAAGGAAACTATAGTTTGAGCCTCAACTTTCCTCAATTTCCAGTTTTGCCACCTTGAGAAAGTAACATGACAACTCTTACCTACAGAATTATTGTAAGGATCAAATGGGACAACTCTCATAAAAATGATCAGTACCCTACAAAGCACTATAAAAATATAAATTATTTCAGAGTGAGTAGAAAGTAAAAATGATCCCAAGATACCTCTTTTAGTGAAGATACCTATATGGATAATTGATAAAAGGTCTGCAAAAATTATCCTGGCTGGAGGAGGGGTCATTTGTAAGTAGCCACAATAGTAATAAATTTTGCTTGCTTGTTAATGATGAAGGATCACTGGACTTCATAGCTGGCAGTCAACAGTCATTTCTAAATATTATAGAAGAACAAAACACTTATGGATTAGACCACTAGGAATAAAAAAAAAATCTAAGATGTGGATTGATTTTTAAATTAAATCAATAAGATATATATCAGCCATAGGTAAAAATTTCTAGAAATGCTTCTTTTTGTGAGAAAAATGGCCTTGTCACCCATGTTTTTAGTGGTTTTAATTTCATATGCCAAAATCCACCTGCAGATTGTTACTTCTAGAGAGGCTTTTAACATAATGCCAGGCACTCTACTAAGATTAAAGTTACTGCTGATATACTGTTACTAAAAAATATGCAGTAATTTTTTAAAACAAAATAAAAATTGTAAGTGTTTTATATGCAACAAATGTAGCTAATACATACTCATAAATTTATTTTTAATCTAAATGTGTGAGATGCAAAAATTTCTAACTCCAGTAACTTCAGTGAAAAACCTCTTCACCATAAAAATAAACAAAATGAAATAAATGATACAGCATTGAGATACACTACTTCTGCTGAAATGGTACTTGCATCATTATCTTACAACTATGTATCAGTTTGAGTAGGTTTAAAAATAAAAAATCCTGGACGAAGTGACAAAGAGGTTTCTACAGAGATATAATTATTCCTTGATGGGGGAGGAAGGGTAGTGATGAAGAGAACATTTTAAATGCCCAGGGTAGTAATGCAAGTATTCAACACATATGTATGGGTAAATTTACCACAGTTATGCATGGAGCAGCCAAGACAATCAGATTTGTTAACAATAAAAATCTATATTTTTAAACCTTACAAAATATTTTAATCTATCTTTGAATCAGAGAGTGACAAAGAACTAAACAGTGATTTCTGCTACCACTGTTCAGTAAAAGAAAACATAATTTAGAGAGCAATGTCAAAAGACTCATTTCTTACCATGAATAGATCCCACTGACCATGTCATAGTTCTGACATGACTCATTCACACTGCTGGGCCCGGCTGCTTTGGAAATAAGTAGCACCACCAAGCCCCTCAACTGGAGGTTATTCCGGCTGTCTTGTACAAGCCCCCTGCCAACAAATAAAAAAAGAATAAGGTTAATATTCTTTCATAAGGTCAGTCAGGTCATGTTGGCAAATTGCTGCAAATATGCCCATACTTCCAAAATCGGACAGTGGAACTTGTTGAAAAGAAATAGGATTGGGAGAAGAAAGAGTTAACAGGAGGAAAACACGAGTTCAGCAAACAAGGGGAGAAACCCTTGGCTGGCTTTAGAAGTGACAGTCACACTGTGAGCCTTGATGACCCGGCCTTCTCTTCTTCGCAGGTTTTCCCACTGTCTATACCCTACCTTGCAATATTGACCATCTGCTCTGAAAAATAGAGGGCCCATTAGTTTTAAACTGCTTGTGGTAGTCGATAGCAACTGAAATAAATACAAACTGTACAGCTTAGATGAAGAGATCTTATTTGGTGATGGCTGTGAGGGGAGTGATAAAAAATGATTTCAGTCTTCACAGTTAAGAGAAGAAGCTCAGAGAATGAGAGGATTAAACCTAATCCAAATGACTCAGTTATTTCAGAAGTAAAATGGAAACGAATGCATGAGCAAATATCGTGCCATTTCCTATTATTTATGCAAAGTATTATCATTCTAGACAACAATGAGGCTTTGGCTTAGAATGTCTTTTTTTTTTTTTTTTTTTTTTTTTTTTTTT